GTGTCAATCCATATTGATTGTGATTTAGGAATGTTAGGTGATTTCTGCCCTTTATGGATTAAAACCAGACTCTGTATCAACTGTGTAATTTTCCATGGGAGTTTTAAGCCATGGATCCCCCTCCGGCATGCCACAGTCCAGGTGTTAGTCCCCTTGAAACAACTTTTCCATCCCTATTGTGGCCAGAAAGAGTCCCTGTGTGTTTTAAAATTCGCCTCCCCATTGAAGTCAATGGCGTTTCGGGCGGTTCGCCGGTTCGCGAACATTTGCGGAAGTTCGCGTTCGCCGTTCGCGAACCGAAAATTTCGGGTTCGCGACATCACTAGTTAGGGTAAAAGGATTTTGTGTTTTCTTATCTTAGGGTAAAAGGATTTTTACAAAATTCTCTCTTTAAAGGAGATGATCAAGTAATGATTATTATAAATAAGATATTTTGTGAACATATAACTCCCAAGGTAATGGCCAAAGCGTATGCTTTAATATCATGTTTAACATTAGGTGTGAAAAATAAATATATGAATAAATGGTCTGAATTACTACAGATTTATATCTATGAAAAAGATTGGTTAGCGGCAATAAGGAGATTTAGCCGAGATATACACAGTTTGAATATAATGGAGAATCAATATAAAGTGATAAATTTTTGGTATCTGGATCCTAAAAAAATATCTAAGTTCTCTCATAATAAAGAAAATAAATGTTGGAGGTGTGATAAAGACGAGGCAGACTACATACATATGTGGTGGAAATGTGAAGTAGCAGCTAAATTATAGGACTTGACTTATGAAAAGTTGCAGGCTCTAGGGAATTTTAAAATTGATAAAAGAATTGAAATAGCATTATTACATCTTAATTGGCCGAAATTACATCCTAGACAAGCTTTAATGCTAACTCACTTTTTCTCAGCCACTAAATTACTATTGGCTACAAATTGGAAATTGGATGGCTATATTAGATGGCCAATATTAAAAAAGCAAATTGTCTTCCAGTGTAAAATGGAACAGGGCCTTAAGTGGATCAATAAAAAGGCTGAGCAGAATAGCAGGTGGATAACTGAATGGATAGATAAACTGATTGATCTTCAGTGAATAGGATATCAATAGTAAGAGAAAACATATTTTACAGTTGAGAGAGAAAGAAAAAGAAAAAGGAAAGAGAACATTTTTTTTTTTCTTTCCTTTTTTAAACTCAAGCAATAAGTATATATTCTCTTGGGTTCTTTCATTTAAGATATAATTGAATGAGCTTCCTATAAGATGAAAGATAAATTCTAAGATGACTGGGGTAATGTTATTTTAGTATGTTAAGTCTGTGATATTGTTTTTTGTGTCTTTATTTTTTATTTTTATTTTTTTACTGTAGACCTATTTACTGTACCGAGCAATTTGGATGATTTAATTGGCAGGGTCTATTAATATCTTTTTTGTATATGTATGTTTGTAATGTACTATGTCTTTGTCTATAAATTATAATGAAATAAAGAGAAATTAAATTTAAAAAAAAAGAGAGAGTAATAAGATGGTAAAACAGTGGTGTAACAAAGTCATATATGAGGCAATACACACATTACGACAACTATAAGTACTATTTGAGGGTATGCCTTAGCGGAAAGCCGTTTGGCGTCGGGTGTCATGAGCAAGTGTTATCTTTTTAACACAGGGTTCCCAGCTCAGTTTGAGTTTCTAGTACAAGCATGTCAAACTCAAAGGCTAAATAAACAAGGTTTAAGTTCATGTGGACCACTAGGTATCGTTAAAGGGTAAATAGAAAAAGAAACTGAATCTGGGGAAAGTAAAATAAATCACTAAAAAAGGAGTAAAACACAAAGGAGATCTCTTTTTCAAGAATTCCTATGTTCTCCCTAGCTGGTGTGACCCGTGTGTTATTAAACAAGTGGAAACAACTCTTGTGGCATTTCTAATGGAAGTGTTCCAGATAAAGTCAGTACTATGACTACATGTGTCTGAGGTGTAGTTAGCCAGCTCTTTGCACTCTGGTCTAAGCATTATGGGCACATTTTGGGTCTGGATCTGGCAAATATAGGTGTTGAAGAAAGGTCGCCTGGTCTCCAGTGGAGAGTAAGGTGAGTGTTTTATCTCCCTTCTGAACAGTTAGTGAGCAGTCTGCCCCCCACCTATATTTAATTGCTGCTTCCTGCAGCCATCTTGCAGCTGCTGCCAGTTGCCTCTTTGCTGCCAGCACAGTGATCGGAAGGTCTCCATAGATTGCTATGGTGCAGTCCTGAAAGTGGACACTACCAAGCTCTCTAGAGGACATTATAGCGGACCGAGCTGCAATGTCTTTCATCACTGCAATGATGTCTCTTGGTGCGTCAGCTGGAGCAGATGCGGCTTTGCGGATCCGGAGAGCCGAAGTGATGATCTCAGGGTCTGCACCTCTCTTGGCACACATGGGGGTCAGTAGTCGCTGGAGGATAGGGCAGTAGAGCATCTCCTGTAATTCGTTCCGGCACCACTCTGAGGTGGATATTCTTCCTTCTATGCTGTGATTCCAGCACCGTCACAGTCCTGGTAAGATTCTGGACTTTTTAGGCAAGGTTTTGGATCTCGTCTTGAGCAGTCTGCAGCCTTTATTCCCTGGCCCATCCTGGACTCCACGTCTAAGTTTTTGACGCAGGGTTCCCAGCTCAGTTTGAGTTTCTAGTACAAGCATGTCAAACTCAAAGGCTAAATAAACAAGGTTTAAGTTCATGTGGACCACAAAAAAACAGAGGACACCGGATGTCCTCACACTCATAGGGTTTCAAAGTAAACAAAAGAGCGAGTTTATTTTAAGTAGACGTGCTTTTGCATATAACCAATGTTTCAGTCAAACTACCTTGACATATTAAGAAAGGTTTGGTAATGGAACTGAAATGGTGAATGTATGCTGTTGCACAGCTGTAAAAAACAAATTACGTTATCTTGTTGATTTTGAAGTCCTACGAGTGTGTTCCTTACCTTAGCTAAAATCATCAAACTTGGTTGTAGTGGACCGGGTGCCAATCACTGCTTCCTAGTGCTCACAGAGTACTCCAAGCACTCCACCAGACACCATCAGCACTGTAGTCCCCACTTCCAGTGTTACAGCTTGGTTGGGGTCTCGCCGTCCTCCACCCACCCTGGACCCACGACCAGGATCCAGCTTCCAGTGGGTAGACCTCTCCAAATCCAGACAGTAGCAGTGTAGCTCTTACAAGTGCTAGTGATAATAGCAATTCAAAGAACAATCCCAACAGCAGGGATGATAGCTGGGATAGCTGTTCGAGATGAGGCTCTGTGTTGATGGTAAGCAGGAAATAATTTATTGGCAGCCACAACTGGCCTTATATGCAGGTCCCCATGCAAGGGGCACTACCCTGTGGACCTGAGAGTAGAGTGGCAAGCTGGCAAGCAGGCCCCTCCAAGAACACGTGGCAGAGGCATTTTTGCCACATTGATGATCTCAGCCAATCAAATGCTTTCCCATAAAGCATTGGGAGGCTATTGTGCATGTATGGCATAAAGCTGTGCGGCCAATCAGCTTCTCCATGAGGAGGGTTCAGCGCCTCCGTACAGACCTAATGTAATACACTGTGCCCCCTCCCCATGCTAATACATTGCTCCCAAATCCAAATTCACTCTAATTGAATACACTGCCCTCCCTCCCCCAATTTAATCCACTGCCCCCACCCTCCCCAATTTAATGCACTGCCCACTCCCCAATTTAACACACTGCCCCACCTGCCACCACTATAATACACTCCCTCCACCACTCTAATACACAGCCCCATTCCCTCCCCCAATTTAATACACTTCCCTCTCTCTCCCCCAAATGAATACACTGCCACCCTTCTCAATGTATTACACTGGCCCCCTACCCCAAATTAATACAGTGCTCCCTCCCTAAAAATAATGCACAATTTATTACACAGGCTCGATCCCTCCCTAAAAAAAAAAAGCACAGCCTACTCCCTCCCCCAATTTAATACACTGCCCCCCTCCTCCAAATTAATACAGTGCTCCCTCCCTAAAAATAATGCACCGCCTACTCCCTCCCCCAGTGTAATACACCCTCACTCAAATTAATACATCTGCCACTAAATCACTAAAAAAGGAGTAAAACACAAAGGAGAGCTCTTTTTGAAGAATTCCTATGTTCTCCCTAGCTGGTGTGACCCGTGTGTTATTAAACAAGTGGAAACAATTCTTGTGGCGTTTCTAATGGAAAACCTTAAGATGAGTCGCCTGTCCTCCAGTTCCAGCCCTGTTCTTCTCAAGCAGGCCAGACACTCCTCTGGCATTGCGAGCAGGAGTTTTCTTAGCGGTCTCCTCAAGGATCATTGTAACAATTGTAGTTCACTACTTTGTTACATTTGTTTTGTTACACAGGCTCAACACGATACTAAGTGTCTCCAGAGATTGCGGTTTTTCATTTTACTGGCATCTATTTGGAAACACTATATAGCTCAATCTATATTTCCAGCAATGAATTGACTAATAGTCTATTTTTATAGGCTCCTAAAGCTTCTTAGCCTCCTATCATATACTCTATGATCAGGGCCGGATTAACATAGGGACTGATGGAGCTGCAGTTCCAGGCCCATGCCTTTGGAATAGGCTCATTGATTTAAAAATAATATATATATATATATATATATATATATATATATATATTTATTTATTTACTACTCTTCACATGCTCTTTTCATGAATTGAGACTTAAGAGGGATGTAGGAGAACAAAACTGGTGTGGACTGGCTGATGATGAAATTAGTAAAGGTAAAGCTGACTTTGTGCACTATGCAAATGTTTTTGCTGCTTCAGTCTCTCTAACTCTGTGGCATGCTCACTTTCTTCTACACTCACTGCATACACTTTTCTCTGTCCCAGACTGTATAACAGGAGCTTCTGCCTGCTAGTAAGGAGGTTAGGTGAGGCGTGGACCAGCAAATGCTAGGAGACTGTCCTTATAAAGCCTAGAGCTAGCGCATCATTAGATGCATTTATACCAAGCTCAGGGTGCTGTCTACACAGTATGCCATTGGTTGGTCAGCCTGCATGATTGGCAGGGAGCCTGACGTGCATTCATGCCAGGCTGACCATCTAATTATTTGCGCAGACATGCCACCCTTTTTGTACATGTTTGTCCCATTGGTCGGTTCTGATTACATGATTTCCGTCAGTGGCCCACCCTTTTACCCCACCCACCGAAATCCTGCTTCACTGGACACTGCTGTTAGGGGGTATGGATTTACTTAAAAGATGAAAGTGAGAGATTAGCTTAATGTGTGTGTTTTCTGATAGCTATATCATGTGAGTTTCCCTGCAGCACCACCTCCATCAGATACATGACGCTTGGGAGGTATATCTGTTTTAGTGTTATCTGTTGATATGATTCTGTAATTAGGCCCATCATGATTGTCCGCACCAGGCAGAATGAGCTATGAATTTCTTCATATTGTCTTCGATATTTTGGTATAGTGTTTTAATTACACTTATCTGTATTATTTTTTTCAGTTCATTCTTTTTTTTTTTCCACTAATAAAAATATTTTAATTAATCAATAAATTAAATGTTATGTTTTAAATCAATTTATACTATAAGGCAAGTATCTCTCTATCAGATATCTTCTACTTAGGGTTATCCCCTTTTCTTGCCTTATGAATCAAGACATCTTATGTTCCAATTCTCCCCTCTCAAATAGACAAGACTTTAGCAAAAGTAAAAAATGTGTCTGCTTACACTGTTGTGGTTATAGTACTTACAGTGTTCTTTTCAAGAAGAACTGTCACATGTGGGCTTTTCATGCACTAGTTATCTAAAAGTTAACTATGGGTTGGGATTTATTTTTATAACTCTCAGTATTTATATTAAAATGTACATTGTATCATTGCATGTCCTGGCACAGCCAGGACACACTACTTTAAGCCTTACAGTAGCATTTGTACAGGCACTTGTGGCACTTTGAAAGAAATGTTTGGGAACATTTTTCTGCAGATAACTGAACAATAGTTATGTCCCTAACGGTTCGTGAACGGTTCGCTAACAGCTCACTAAGAATGCAGCTTCAAAATGTATGCTGTCCAGGAGGTGGGAGGGTTTGGGAGGCAGCGTCTGCTGCTGATTGGCTGGAATGTGTCTGCTGACTGTGAGGTACAGGGTCAAAGTTTACTCAATGATGAGTCCGTGGTGAACCGTTCGTGGCGAACCGTTAGCAAACCGTTCGGCGAACCGTTCGGGACATCACTAACTGAACAAGCATAAGGTCATCAGGCACATCATGGGGTAAAGTACAAAGAAACATGCATTTTCTACTCCCCTCTGCTGAACTGAATATAGCATAGCTTCAACAGCATTTAGTAGGTTAGAAAAAATGAGGAATTGTCACTTGCAGGGAAAGGATAGTTCTACTTTTTTTTGTCAATTTATTTTTTATTGGTGAGGCATACGAATTATACAGTACAAGCAGTGATATGTAAGTTACATGAAATCAACGATAAACATATTGCACTGGTAAAACACACAGCAGAGCCTAATTTTCTAAATAAGTACAAGATAGGAATGGCTTAGCAGGTGTGATTAACATACTGTAGTAAAAGGAAGACAGATGAAGTACCCTATGCTAAGCAAGAATATGAAAAGTAATATAGAAACATGCTAGACAAATATTAGAAAATAGGTGTGCTCATTGGTTTTAACAAGTTCGTGTACCTGTGCAGCGCTTAAAAGATTATATGACTTGAGTTAGCCAAAAATAAGCTTATTGGTAGATGATGGGAAGCCTGTACGAACAGAGAAAGGTAAATTGTATTTTAGCAGCCATGTAAATTATGAATAATACAATTTATAGACAGATAAAGATGAAGATAACAAAACAAAACAAAACAAAACATGAAAACATGCTGCTGGTATTGTAAAGCAAAAAGAAAAAGGAGATATGAGACACAGATAGTTAGCCCAAGCCCAGTCAGTAAGATAACTCAAAACCCCTGCAACGGGTGGGTGGGGGAGGGAGAGGGGGCGGAATACAGGATAGACCACCAGAAAAGTGCTCGGTTACAGGCTGAGGGATGGGCTTCCTCCCTCTCAATTACTGCTAGTAGGCCTATTGTAGGATCACCTAGAACAGTGCTCCTCAACCCTACAAGTTCACGATTTACTGATTAACCAGGTGTGTCTAAGTGCTAGACTCTAAAGTTTTTTTTTTCTTCTTTTTCTAAACACCTTAGACACACCTGGGTAATCAGTAAATCCAGGACTGGTAGATGTGCCTTGAGGAGAGAGTTGAGGATCACTGATCTCCATTGGAAACAAAATTGGTTTGAGAGCAAAGGATGTCTCCCAACACCAGAGTTTCACAAGAAGTACAATACATTTCAGACATTTGCATGTAAAGCATTGTTAGAAGCCAGATTGCACGGAGCTCTCGCAGCATGGCTGCTAGGCTCCTCCCCCTTGATAGTTCTACTT